CTTGAAACATGAAGGGCCAAAGTAAGAGGAAGAAAAAAAATAGAAGCCAAAGTGAGAAAACAGTCAAACATAAAGGACGAAAAAGTGTAACTTATCCCAAAAACAAAAACAATAACGTTTGGAACTTGCTTTTTTCAGTGACTTTTTAATCCTTTACAAAAAGATATGTAAAAAAATAAAAAAAATAATTTGATAACTTGTAATGAGTCTTTGACTAAAAACCTAAGTTTCCAAGGAGGCCAAATATAAATATTTCACAAGGAGTGAACTCACATGATTTAGGATCTACATGTAGAAACCACTCTTTGTAAGCCATATGTGTTCCATTATGTATTTAGTCTCTATGTTTCTAGTATTGTTGAAAAAAATGAATGCATGTTTGTAAACATAAAAATGGGTCACAAAATAAAATGGGAAAATTAGTTTAACATCCCTCTCAAACTTTTAGTAATATGAAAGGTCCATAATATTTTTTTTGGTAACCTAAGGTCCCTCACCCACACCCATATATCACATCATCTCTCTCTCTCTCTCTCTATGTATATATATATATATGTATGTATATAAATATCATACATACACATATATATGCATTGTGTGTACAACAATGGCTTCAGACCCAACTCGAATGGCCATGTTTTGTGCTATATTAGCACCTGCATTATCTCTAGCAAAGAAAACCTGATCAAAATCAATATAGTTCTTTAGCCATACCTCACCACCATTTGAGATGGAGTGAGAAGCAACCCACTTGATAGTGTGTTGGCACCATAAATCTGCAATTTTTATTGTTTATTATTGCGGGACATGTGGTAGCCTCCTACTCATTTGGAGGTTATGAGAAGTTATGAAATGTGGAAAGATGATGAAGAACAAAGTGGAGAACATGGAGCATGAAGTGGAGGTTGAAGAAAGTTATGGAAGATTATGGAGTATGAAATGGATGAGGTGGAAGGGTGGGTAGTTTTAGATAGTTTTTTCTTACAAATGTTTGTCTATAAATAGCCATTCATGGCTACATTGTAAGGACCCAGACTCAGATCCAATAAGAAAATAATGTGAATTAAATGGAACATAAGTAGATGAAAATGGTATTTTGGTCTTCTTATCTCAAATTGGACCTAATGGAATAGTCAAAAAGAATATGGGTTGGATGGAATAAAGCTCTTAGAAAATGGATTTATCAAAAAAGCTCCCTTGAATATATATTATTATATATATAAATAACATAAAATCTTACGTTTTCTATTTTCACTCATAAATTGTAAAGAATATTATAGCGACATCTTTTTTACATTATATAAATTATTTATTATGATGGTAATAATGATTTTCTATAATAAGAAAAATGTAAGTATAGTCAAATTTTAATAATTTAATAATGTAACTGCAAAAAAAAAAAAAAAAAATTGAAATACATTTACAATACGGGTAACTCAGGCAATTCGGGTTTAACTCGGGTCGGGCTTGGGCAGGCAACCTTGAGTTACAATTCGGGCATAGGCAGGCATGGGCAAGTCTTAGCACAACTTGGGTTAGGCTTGGACAACCTCCCAACACGACCGAACCTGCTCGAGTTGCACCCCTATTATAATAAGGCCTTATAATAGCGTTGTTTGGGAATTCGATCTAGTTGGGCTAGCTTCGTACCTAGTAGCACCAAATAAAAAAACCTTAAATTTTAATAAGATTTGATATTTATAATAGGGTGCTACTATTGGCCTTCAATCAATTATTTTGGGCTTGCATTTATTTGGACCGCACTTATAAATTCTAAAACCCTAAAAAATAAAATTTCTCTCACAAAGAATAATATTTGAGAGTTCTAATTTGAGAGTTTTAATACAGCTCTAATGATGTGAAGACTGTCCATGTGAATGTAGGGCCCACACTCTTCTCTTTATCTATCTCTACTCTTTTCCCTTTCCACCTCACTAGATCTCCATTTAGAGCTATAGTATTAGAGCTATGTATCATTACTGATTATTGTTGTGAAAATATTACACTCATTCAATTGAATACATACCCCCACACCCTAAAAAGCCTCTCTCACAAAAACCCTAACAAAACCCACGAAGGTGATTATTATTCCATCTCTACATATTTGTTCATGACTTGAGAAAATAAATATAAGGGTTTTT